GTTTGGTGTTTTTTTGGACAAGGTAAACTGGGTTTCAACTGGTTAAGATGCCTAAAACCACTACAAAACCATCAAACTAGACTGCTGAGCAGTTTAAATCACATTTAAACCAGCAGTATATGTGTTGATTTATAGGTCTTAATAGGATTAGTTGGCTTTTTAGTCTGGTAAAGTTGGCTTTTAGCTGATTTTGGAGCTCTATAAAAGACAACTCTAACTAGAGTAAACCAACCTTGTGGCAAGTAAAATCATCCAACTTCATTTAGACTAGCACTAAAGCATTTTATTACCCTTAGTAGACTTTCCAGTCTGAAGTTGTGTTTATATTTTGTTTAGCTGGTCCAAATGTCTAAAACCTCCATAATACCATCAAATTAGACCAGTCTGGCTAGTGTAAACCACTCTGTTGACCAGTTAAAAAAACATTTAAACCAGCAACTGGTTGATTTACCGGACTTAACAGGATTAGTTGGCTTTTCAGTCTGGTGAAGAGTCAAAAACCTCTTTAAAAGAAGTTTAAACCATTTAAACCAGCAATAATTTAGCTGGTCTAATTCCCCAAACCCTTTATAAAACCATCAAACTAGACCATTCTGACATGTTAAACCACATTTAAACCAGCAATATGAGTTGTTTACTAGTCTAAGTAGGTGTAGTGTTTTTTCCAACTGGTAAATTTGGCTTTTTATCTGGTTCAGCAGGTCCAGCAATAAGGTGATTTGTGCGTGTTAGTAGGTTTGGTGTTTTTTTGAACAAGGTAAACTGGGTTTCAACTGGTTTAGATGCTTAAAACCACTACAAAACCATCAAACTAGACTGCTGAGCAGTTTAAATCACATTTAAACCAGCAGTATATGTGTTGATTTATAGGTCTTAATAGGATTAGTTGGCTTTTTAGTCTGGTAAAGTTGGCTTTTAGCTGGTTTTGGAGCTCTATAAAAGACAATTCTGACTAGAGTAAACCAACCTTGTGGCAAGTAAAATCATCCAACTTCATTTAGACTAGCACTAAAGCATTTTATTACCCTTAGTAGACTTTCCAGTCTGAAGTTGTGTTTATATTTTGTTTAGCTGGTCCAAATGTCTAAAACCTCTATAATACCATCAAATTAGACCAGTCTGGCTAGTGTAAACCACTCTGTTGACCAGTTAAAAAAACATTTAAACCAGCAATAGGTTGATTTACCGGACTTAACAGGATTAGTTGGCTTTTCAGTCTGGTGAAGAGTCAAAAACCTCTTTAAAAGGAGTTTAAACCATTTTAACCAGCAATAATTTAGCTGGTCTAATTACCCAAAGCCTCTATAAAACCATTAAACTAGACCATTCTGGCTTGTGTAAACCACTATGTTGACTAGTTAAATCCATATTTAAACCAGCAATAGGTTGATTTACTGGACTTAATTGGATTAGTTGGCTTTTCATTCTGGTGAAGAGTCAAAGACCTCTTTAAAAGATCATTCTCACTAAATTAACCACCCTTGTAAAAATTTAAACTAGTCATTTAAAACTGATTTACTAGTGGTAGTAGGTTTAGTTGGTTATTCACACTAGTAAATTTGGGCTTTTCATCTGAAAACCTCTTTAAAACTCTCATTCATTCATTTTCTTTTTGGCTTAGTCCCTTTATTAATCTGGGGTAGCCACAGCGGAATGAACCGCCAACTTTTCCAGCATGTGATTTAATGAAGCGAATGCCCTTCCAGCAGCAACCCATCACTGGGAAACATTCACACACACTCATACACTACGGTCAATTTTAGCATACCCAATTCACCTGTACGGCATGTGTTTGGACTGTGGGGGAAACCAGAGCACCCAGAGAAAACCCACACTAACACGGGGAGAACATGCAAACTCCACACAGTAAATACCAACTGACCCTGCCAAGGCTTGAACCAGCGACCTTCTTGCTGTGAGGTGAACGTGCTACCCACTGCGCTCCCTCTTTAAAACATTCGAGTCTTAATAGGTTTGGTGTTTTGTCAGACTGGTGAAACTGGTTTTCATTTAGTTTAGTTGATTCAAATGCCTAAAACCACAATAAAACCATCAAACTAGAACGTTCTAAAAAGTTAAACTCACTCTCTAGGTTGGGTTGCTAGCTTTGTTGGGTTTGGCTGGTTTTCCAGTCTGGTGAAGTTGGCCTTTTATCTGGTTTAGCTGGTCCAAATGACCAAAACCTCTATAAAACCATCAAACCACATTTAAACCTGCAATAAGATGGTTTGCTGGGCTGAATAGGATAAGTTAGTTTCCTAGTCTGGTGAAGTTAGCTTTTAAACTGGTTTAGCTGGTCTAAGTGCCCAAAACCAATATAAAACCATTAGATCTTTAATTAGTTTGGAGTTAATTTAGCAAACCACATTTAAAACACGCTAAATTTGCTGCTCTGAGCAGGTTTAGTTGTATGCTGGGCCACTCTGGACAACACTGGTGGCCATGCAAACCCAAGAATCCAACTGGTTTGTGTTGTTTGAGCTCAGAGCCGTGTGTTGACGGACAGCGGTGTTTCAGAGATTGTAAACTCATGACTGTAGGTCGCAGTGGCAGCACAGGAATGTAAACATCGCCATGGATGGGTTTCAGAGGCCAAACTCTGGGATGCGGTTTGTCGTTGCAGCACTAAACGTCTTGATCTCGACGTGAGCAGCATAACTGAGTTTTGCTGCTGGTTTCTGGTATTGGCTCCATCTCAGAAATACCTCAGGAGCTGGAAAGAAATGAGCCGAGCGGTTCCCTGCTGTAGTGTTTTCCTCTATCAGGGAGTGAATGACTGCGACTGGAGCGCTGCTGGAATGCTGAACTTCTGATCCTGTTTGTGCTTCTCATTAAATGACTGTTTGGCCTCTGATCTGCTACCGTTCGCCACTCTGCACAGTCTTAAAGTCTCAAATAAAAGCTTTAATAGCACACAACAAACTACTTAAATGACTTTTCTAATTTCGTGCAAAATTAGCACCATGTTTCTAGAGTGTTGCTTTGTGGTTACTAAGGAGGACAATATCAAGTGATGCTATAGTGATGGTTTCAGTGAGGCTGATAGGCATGCTTTGCTACAATGTTGCAAAAGTTCTGTAGTTTAGGTGGTTACTATGGTGTTTTGAATCATTGCAACAGTGTTGCAATTCTATTGCTACAATATTTTAAATGGCTGATGAGGTGTGTTGGATGGTTGCTACAATGTTTCTAAAGGGTTACTATAAGGTATGGAGTTTAGTGTACTTTAGATGGTTACTATGGTGTTTTGGATCATTGTACTACACAATTGCTATGGTATTTTAGTTAGCGGTTAAGGTATGTCGAATGGTTGCTGCAATGTTGCTGAAGGGTTGTCATAGGGTTTAAAGTTAAGTGTATTTTAGATGGTTACTATGGTGTTTTAGATAATTGTAGCATTGTTGCTATGCAATTCCTATGGTATTTAAATGGCTGCTAAGGAATTTTGGATGGTTGCTACAATGTTTCTAAAGGGTTGCTATAAGGTTTATAGTGTATTTTAGGTGGTTACTATAGTGTTTTAGATCATTGTAACATTGTTGCTATGCTACTGGTGTGGTATTTTAAATGGCTGATGAGGTTTTTAGATGGTTGCTACAGTGTTTCTTCAGGGTTTCTACAAAGTTTATAGTTTAGTGTATTTTATTAGGTTACTGTGGTGTTTTTGATTAATGTAACAGTGTTGCTATGCTATTGCTACAATATTTTAAATGGCTGATGAGGTGTGTCGGATGATTGCTACAATGTTTCTAAAGGGTTACTATAAGGTTTGGAGTTTAGTGTTCTTTAGATGGTTACTATGGTGTTCTAGATAATTGTAATATTGTTGCTATGCTATTGGTATGATATTTTAAATGGCTGATGAGGTTTTTAGATGGTTGCTACAGTGTTTCTTCAGGGTTGCTACAAAGTTTATAGTTTAGTACAGAGGTCACCAAACTTGTTCCTGGAGGGCCGGTTTCCTGGAGATTTTAGCTCCAACCCTAATCAAACACACCTGAACAAGCTAATCAAGGTCTTGCTTGGTATACTTGAAACATTCAGGCAGGTGTGTTGAGGCAAGTTGGAGCTAAATCCTGCAGGGACACCGGCCCTCCAGGACCGAGATTGGTGACCCCTGGTTTAGTATATGGTTACTGTGGTGTTTTGGATCATTGTACCACGCAATTGCTATGGTATTTTAGTTAGCGGTTAGGGTATGTCGGATGGTTGCTGCAATGTTGCTAAAGGGTTGTCATAGGGTTTACAGTTAAGTGTATTTTAGATGGTTACTATGGTGTGTTGGATCGTTGTAACATTGTTGCTATGCAATTGCTTTGATATTTTAGGTGGCTGACAACGTATTTTGGGTGCTTGCTACAATGTTGCAAAAGTGTTGCTATAAAGTTTATGGTCTAAAGTGTATTTTAGATGGTGACTATGGTGCTATGGATAATTGTAACAGTGTTGCTATGCGATTGCTACAGTATTTTATTTGGCTGTAATAAGGTATTTTGAATGGTTGCTACATTGTTGCTAAAAGGCTGCATGAGGTTTATAGTTTATAATGTACAGTATTTTAGATGGTGACTATGGAGTTTTGGGTCAGTGCTACACTCCAAAATAAAAAATATCAAATTTTATTTAAGAGCTGAACTCAGAGAAATATTTTTTGTTGTACACAAAAGGTCTATTTCTCTCAAATTTTGTTCACATATTTGTCCAAATCTATGTTAGTGATGTTAGATGATCAAAACGCCACCAATAACACACAGCTGTTGTCCCATTTTCCAGGTAGTGGCTAGACTGAAATCATTAAATTAAAGTCCATTAATGCATTTTCATTAGGTCAAATTATTAAGTCAAAAAGATACAATATATACTAACACTAATCCCCACAAATAAGCTGTGGTACTAAGTGACTAGGTGGTTGCTAGGATGTTGTATTTTAAGTAAGCTGCATAATTATACAACACATCAAAAAATTTGTAACAATCAAACTATATATTCTTCTATTTCAGGCTCCTCGTTGGAGCTCCCTTTGAGACCAGCGGTGAACACCAGACAGGCGACGTCTACAGATGTCCACTAGAAAGCAAACGCACAAACTGCACACGACTGCATCTAGGTATCATATCACCCCTCTGACTCCACAAAAGTGATATAAAATAAACGTGTGTTAAAATTAGGGCTGCACGATACATCAAAATGAACAGTCTCGAAATAATATATGCATATGCAATATTTAATGTGCCAACCATTGGGGTGATGCATGCAAAGGTGGTTTATTCAAATTTGACCAATCAGATCCGTACTCTGTTAAGACCCACCTTCTCATTATGTGCTGTTCTGCTATTGGCTAGAGCAGCCCAAAGATGAACCTAGTTCTGAAAATAAACAAATAATTACAGCAAATACAAGTGTTCAGTCATTTATAGTTTTTTAAAGTCTAAATACTTGCACCTTGACATATATCACCTGTTTATTTTAGTTTGATCATATGTAAATATGTAATTTGTTACTAATAAAAATCGAACAAAATTGCATGTAATATTATAAGACATTTTGTTAACGCAATTCTCAACAATAATATTGCATTTGTTTCCCTGTATCGTGCAGCCCTGGTTGTAATATAGAAATATAATACAATATAAAAAAAATTTTGTCTAAACTTTCTCTTGCCGTTTGGCTGTTTTCAAGGAAAGATATCGCTGAACAATGTTTCGGAACGCAGAGATAAAATGAGGTTGGGAATGACTCTGGCTACAAACCCAAAGGATAACAGCTTTGTGGTAATTTTCATGTTCACTTTCTCGTTGATTTTAAAGGTGCAGTATGTAGGAGAGACACCTAATGGCTGAACTTGATATTGCAGTCTAAATTCAAAATATACGACACCTCTGTGCAAACAGAGGCTGCCAGATTGACGACACAAACAGGAGCAAACATGCATGACAATTGGGCTTTGTGCCTTGGTCACACTAGAGTTTGAGCATGCAAAATTCTGTCATACATCGCTGGCGGGATGAAAAGGGGCGGGATTAAACAAGATTATTAGTCATTAAATAAAGCAAGGGCTATGTTTTGAATATCTCTGCAGAGACGTCATGTTTTGATCTTCAATTGGTCATAAGCAGTCACGTGATGCGATTTGGCAGATCAGAGTTCACCAAGCTTGAACTCTGCGATGTAGCGAACTGCGAAACTTGTCGCACAAGCTTGCGCTTCCGAATTTGTCGCAAACGTGTGCATATGCAAGTCTATGAGGTGATAAGTGCAGTGTGACCGCAGCTTGACACTGTTCAGCAAAGGTTTACATTTGTAATAATATTTGTATTATTTGCTAATTAAACACCAGCTCATGTGTATTTTTACTAATCTGCATCTAACTTCAGAGGCTGCTGCTGTCATCTAGTGGTTACATTTTCATCCGTGTTCGCATATCTTGAGTTAGCCCCTATGACTGAAATTAACAACATAGGCTCATTCTGAAAGCGTAGCCCTATATAAATTTCTGAAGATCGTGAATTATGGAGCCAGAGAAACGCGTGTCTTAATTTAGTCGTTAAAACGTAACATTACGGGGTGGTATGACGTTGTTCATTCTCACACTCACCAGCTGACTGCTTACCTCCGTATGGACGGCTTTCCCACTGTTACCAGTTTTTCCAGTGGCTCGACATGTACATCAGCGGACTTGAGACGCAGAGAAGAGTTGACCACGATGACAGGGTTCGAGTCTAGCGAAGAACGGTTCCAGAAAGCAGGGAAAACAAGAACAGAAGCCAAATAATAAAGTAAACAAGTAAATAACAGAGTGATAATGTGGTAAAATCTGAAAACATGGTAAAAATCAGGGGCTTTTCTTTTTCTCGGTTGCTTTTTAAAACTGTTGGTTGGGTTTAGGGCAGTGGGTGAATTGGTCAATCGGTGCTATTGAAAACACTATTGGTTGGGTTTAGGGAAGGAACAGGGTGGGTCAGTCAATCGGTCAGTCAGTCAGTCAGTGAATCGACAGCAGCCTCTGGTGGATTTACGTGAGAACAGCAGGCAAAAATGACACTCATGAGAGAAATTTAAGCTCTGAAAAAGCATAAACAGTGGCCTCAGGTGGATTTGCGAAAATAAAAATCGCAAAAAAAGGTAGCTCCTTGGATGCATTTGGCGCTCTCCAGAATTGTGTATATGGGTACATTTTCAGAATGAGCCTGGGTTGAAAATTAAATACACTCTTTATGACCAAGGCAACCTGGGGTGCTAAAATATAATTGGGTAAACTGGGAGTGGGCGGAGTTACAGAGATCAAAGCAAAGACAGAAATTCCAAAATTGAACGCACATATTCAAAGCAGAATATCTGACTTCCGCATTTCTTTCCAGATCAACAAGTATGTTCACTTAGCATATCTTAAATATCTGCAAACATATAGGATTTTTATGCTTTAGACGAGCTTAAAATGTACATACAACACCTTTAATTATACTGAGATTAACTCATCAGTGTATGTTATTGTAAAAACATTAAATAAAAGAGTAAACCGAGTTGTGTTTCAGGCGTGTGGGCCGCTGTGGTCATATGAGTGTGGAAGTTCCTACTACAGCACCGGCATCTGTTCAAGAGTCGACAGCAACTTCAACTTCACCCATAGCATCGCTCCAGCCTATCAGAGTAAAGCTTCACACATCTTCTTATTAACAAACGCTTCGGCACACATGTACTGACAGCGTTGGTTTCTCCACAGGATGCGAGACCTACATGGACATAGTGATTGTGTTAGACGGGTCGAACTCCATCTACCCCTGGTACGAGGTTCAAGATTTCCTGATCAATGTGCTACAGAAGTTTTACATCGGTCCAGGACAGATCCAGGTGTGTTATGACCTGGAACATTGCTTTGGATTGCAATGGTTTTGATTCATGACCGGTTTCGATTTGTCCAAAAGCAGCACTAACCGCTGTAGAATCAGGAACTACAGAACAAAAATACTGACAACTAATCTGATATAATAGAAAATATGCATGATTAGTCAAAGATGTCACCGGGTGATGTTTCCTATTGTCTAGGTAGGGGTCGTCCAGTATGGTGAAAGAGTCGTGAACGAATTTCGACTGGATGATTTCCGTACAGTCGACGAGGTTGTGGCAGCAGCTAAAAATATCGACCAGCGAGGCGGAGAGGAAACACGGACTGCTCTCGGGATTAATGTGGCTCGGTACACTGGTGTTTCTCTGTTTGTCTGCTATAAAACACATGCAAATGATGAATTATAATTAAACATCACGTGTCCTGCGATGTGACTATTGCGATCACATTGCGATATCGATGCTGAAACCATACACTGTGCAGCCCTAATTTTAATGCCTGAAACCCAATGCATTTATAACAGAACTCAAGCATTTAAACACGGAGGTCGTCCAGATGCTAAAAAAGTCATGATTGTCATCACGGATGGAGAATCGCACGACAGTCCAGACCTGAAGGCAGCCGTGGAGGAAAGTGAGAAGGATAATATCACCCTGTACGGCATTGCGGTGAGTTACTGCTGCTTTTCCAGCTCAATCCTCCAGATATCAGATTCTTGAGTTGTGTTCAAACAGGTGCGCAGGTGGAACAGGTGAACATAGCTCAGATATTCCAATGCCGTTCCAGGTTCTTGGCTACTATAATCGACGAGGGATCAATCCTGAAGCTTTTCTGAGGGAAATCAAGTTCATCGCCACCGATCCAGACGAGCACTTCTTCAGCGTCACAGACGAGTCTGCTCTGAAGGATATCGTCGACGCTCTGGGAGAGAAAATCTTCAGTTTGGAGGGTAAGAAACCCTAATCTAAAGCTTAAGCTTCATCTAGAGACCAGAATATCAGAGACACTAGACAAAACATACAAGCAACCACTTATAAGAAATGGCCAAAAATACCTTTAAATGTTCAAACCAACACCTAAAACAACCCAAAATACTCTAGTAACTACATTGCAACATGCTATAAACCCTCAGAACACCTTACAAACCTCACATCAACACCTAAAACTACCCAAAATACTCTAGTAACCACATAACAACATGCTAAACCCCCCAGAACACCTTACAAACCACACATCAACACCTAAATCTACCCGAAATACTCTAGTGACTACATAACAACAAGTTAACCCCCCCCCCCAGAACACCTTACAAACCTCACATCAACACCTAAAACTACCCAAAATACTCTAGTAACTACATTGCAATATGCTAAAGACCCTCAAAACACCTTACAAACCACACATCAACACCTAAAACTACCCAAAATACTCTAGTAACCACATAACAACATGCTAAAAACCCTCAAAACACCTTACAAACCTCACATCAACACTTAAAACTACCCAAAAATACTCTAGTAACCACATAATAGCATGCTAAAAACCCTCAGAATGCCTTACAAACCTCATATAAACACCTAAAACAACCCAAAATACTCTAGTAACCATATAACAACATGCTAAAAACCCTCAAAACACCTTACAAACCTCACATCAACACTTAAAACTACCCAAAAATACTCTAGTAACCACATAATAACATGCTAAAAAACCCTCAAAACACCTTACAAACCAGACATCAACACCTAAAACTAACCAAAATACTCTAGTAACCACATAACAACATGCTAAAAAACCCTCAAAACACCACAACAACCACTGCACAGCAACTTAAAAACCATCTAATGGACCTTAGCAACCACCCATAACACCCTAGCAACATAGGCACACCAAGCCTACCATAAATGACAGATTAGCACCATTTCAATGAATATGACACTTAAAAAATATCTAGTTTTCTTAGTATTGCTTGACTTTTTCACAGGCACCAACCAGAATGGTACAGCTTTTGGTTTGCAGATGTCTCAAGCCGGATTCTCTTCGCATATCGTAGAGGTGAGTGCGTCTCCATCCATTCCAAGCTGAAGAAATATAAATATTGACAACAGCGCTAATGTGCGGAGAATTATATTAGGTACTCAGTGGCGTGCGTGAAATGCTGTTATTCTGCTCTTTGCACTCTGAGATTGAGTTTGAAGCTCTCGCATTAGCCTGGAGCAGATGCTACGGCATCAGTCAAAATAAAGAGTCATTGAAAGAATGATTCGTTTACCGCTCGTGGGAAAACAAACCTGAGGTACATCCTTTTAGGGCCCGACAGAAGCACGAAACGCCAATCTTTCAATTAAAATAAGGCTGGTTTACTTTTGAAGTGGTTCCACATGCTGGGAGAGGCATGAAATCTGTTTAGACCGTCTGTCGTCTGAGGGAAAAGGGCAATTTTTTCACCTTTTCTCTTGGAAGGCTTAAAGGTCTGGGGTTCATTTAAAGGAACAGTCCACTTTTTTGGGAAATGTTTTTACATTTTACAGCTCTCTTACGGTTAAACAGTAGAGTTTTACCAATTCTGATTCCGCCAGACCCAGAGATTGGCTGAATGGGAGCACTTTTAGCTTAGCTTAGCATAGTTCATTGAATCAGATTAGACCATTAGCATCTTGCAAAAAAATCTAATTTTCCTATTTAAAGCTTGACTCTTGGGTGGCACGGTGGGTAGCGCTGTCACCTTGCAGCAAGAAGGTCGCTAGTTCGAGCCCGGGCTGGGTCAGTTGGCATTTCTGTGTGGAGTTTGCATGTTCTGGGTTTCCTTCGGGTGCTCCCGTTTCCCCCACAAGTCCAAACACATGCGCTATAGGGGAACTGGGTAAGCTAAACTGTCAGTAGTGCATGGGTATGAGTGTGATTGAGAGTGTAAAGGTGTTTCCCAGTGTTGGGTTGCAGCTGGATGGGCATCCGCTGCATAAAAAACAAATGCTGGATAAGTTGGCGGTTCATTCCGCTGTGGTGACCCCTGATAAATAAAGGGGCTAAGCCGAAAAAGACAATCAATTTATGAATGAAGCTTGACTCTTTTGTAAGTACATCCTATACTAAGGCTGCATTAAAAGTTTATTGTGCCCTTCACTCGCTAACTTCATCTTATTCCCTTGGAAGTATGTAATTTATTACATTACACTAGTGTTCACTACTGGGGGAACATGTGAATGGATTTAAATGGAATGCCCTAAACCCTTGAGAGTTACAGCTGTGACATCACAATTGCAGTTTAAATGACAGTGGGCAATGATGTGGGTTTCTATAAGTGGAGTGGAACACAGTTAAGGTGGACAGAAAATGAAAAGGGATCATATTACACAGCACTGATACCTAGTTACCCAGCTAGGGATTATTTTCATGCCTGCATAATATCATTGCGCTTTTACAGTCATGGTACGGCAGCAAAATTTCTTGATTATTATGATGAAATGAGAGTACAATTCCTAAAACATCAGCTACGAAAATACCAACTGGTCCTTTTTAGTCTGCCTTATACACAGTGTTACTACAGATCAATTTGTTTATTTTAGAATTTTTATATTTTTAAGCTTAATGCTAATGGTCTAATCCATTTCAATGATTTATGCTAAGCTAAGCTAAAAGGGCTTCAAAACCGTAGATTGGCTGAATGGATAAAAAAATTTGTAAAAATCAACTGTTTAGCTCTAAACTTAGCCTGTTAAAAATACAGTGAAGTGTTCATTTAAATCATATCTTTTACTGTTGGACCTCAGGGAGCAAGTCTGCTTTATATGTCCCGCAATTCAATGTGATTGTGACATCACAACAGTGTAGTCCCCAAGTGCTCAGAGGTTTAGGGAATTGCATTTAAACCCATTCAGAAATCCCCCCTATTGCGGACACTTGTGTGATGTAATAAAGTGAGAGTCAAGCTTTAAATAGATTTCTTTTTTTGCAAGATGCTAATGGTCTAATCCATTTCAATGATTTATGCTAAGCTAAGCTAAAAGTGCCACTGCATAGAAATAGGCTGAATGGGTTCAAAAATGTCAAAACTGAACTGTTTAACTCCAGGAGAGCTGCAAAATGAGCGTTTCTTTTGTGAAATGCTAATGGTCTAATTCATTTCAATGATTTATGCTAAGCTAAGCTAAAACTGCTTCTGCATAGAAATAGGCTGAATGGGTTCATAAATGTCAGAACTGAACTGTTTAACTCCAGGAGAGCTGCAAAATGAGCATTTCTTTTGTGAAATGCTAATGGTCTAATTCATTTCAATAATTTATGCTAAGCTAAGCTAAAAGTGCTCCAGACCTGGAGATTGGCTGAATGAACTTTAGAGAAGCTGTAAAATGAGCCTATTTCTAAGAAAACAGTTTTTAATGTTAGTTGAAGGGCAACAAAACTGAATTCATAAATTTTAAGGTTGGATTCCATAGTGAGTCATTTGTCAATATGTCCCAGAATGCAGTGCATTTGTGACATCAAAACAGTGTAGTTCCCAAGTGATCAGGTGTTCATTGCATTTGAACCCATTCAGATATTCCCCACAGTAGTGGATACTTGTATGATTTTGTCAACGATGTACATCCGGGAGGATCGAGTTTTAAATTGAAGAGTTAGATTTTTTGGGGCAAAATGCTAATGGTCTAATCCATTTCAGTGATTTATGCTAAGCTAAGCTAAAAGTGCTTCCCCCAGACCTGGTGATCGGCTAAATGGATTCAAAAACATTTTAACTTCAGGAAAGTTGTAAAATGAGCATATTTATAAAATAGTGTAGCGTTTCTTTAATGTAAGTTGAAGGATAACAAAACAGAAAGCAAGTCAGCTTTAAATGTACACTCCAGCACCAATATGTCCCAGAATGCAATGCAATTGTGACGTCACAACAGTGTAGTTCCTAAAGGCTGATTTATACTTCTGCGTCAAACGTCGGCATATGCTACGGCGCTGACGCATAGCCCTTCGCCGTGGCCATCGCCGTCACTGACGTGCACCTCTCAAAAAATGTAACTACACGTCGCAACGACGCGTAGCGTAAGCTCTGTGATTGGTCGGCTTGGTAGCGCTGATGAGTCTGGGCGGGACCGAGAGCTGCGCGAATGGCGCGACGCCGCGCGAGCGATTGTTTACAAGTGTGGAGTCCTGTGAAGGAGCGCCTAATGGAAAGTTATGTTTTGTGTTTACCTCATAGTTAAAGTTGTTGCACGTCCGCCGGTTCCTGCCTCAAAATGAGCGAGTTTGAGTCACTTGTACATCCTGAAGTGTTCAGGAAAAGCAAAAAAGCAGAGAAGAAACTCGACACAAAGAAAAATTTACACCTCACTGCCCACTAGCGTTTTGGAAGTGTTAATGCAGACCGACAGAGACAGCGCGCAGAAGTATAAATGCACAGCCACGCGCGTTGCCTGCGCCGTGGGTTACGCCGGTCACTTGACGCAGAAGTATAAATCAGGCTTAAGTCCTCAAGGCTTTAGGACACTGCATTTAAACTCATTCAGATAACCCCCCACTACTCCAATTGGTCAAGCTTTGATTTTTTTTTTTTTTTTTTGGTGAAATGCTAATGGTCTAATCCATTTCAATGATTTATGCTAAGCTAAGCTAAAAGTGCTTCCACCAGACCTGGATATTGGCTAAATGGATTCGAAAATGTTAAAACTGACCTGTAAAACTCTTTGAAAGCTGTAAAATGAGCCCTTTTGCCAACCAAAAACAGTGGAGTGTACCTTTAATGTTAGTTGAAGGACAACAAACCTGAAGAAAAATAGCATTTTTTTCATACCTTTCACTGTTGGATCCCAGGAGCTGCTCTTGAAAGTCGCAACTGGAGACGGGAGATAACGTCTCGGAAAGTTTTTTTTTTTTCATTCCTGACTTCTCCTAAGGAACGAGGTCCAGAGAACACATATGGTTTTGTTGAATTAGGCTCCTTTACAGAGGAACCGTCACACAAACACTCTCACACACGTGCTCTTGTGTTTTTACGTGCGCGCTCGTACATGTGACTCTATTTGTGAAGGAAAGCTTCTGCCTTATTTGCTCGTGTCTGTTAATGTTTTTAAAGGAATGACTGTGTTTCGTTTTATAAGAAAAAGAGCTCGGCGTCCATTAAGAGTGCAGTAAATAAAACCTAATCAGATGGAAATAAAACCTTTGGATGTCAGTTTATGGGCTTGGGCCGCTCACACGAACATGGCATGCTGGATTTCACTGCTTTTGTTTTGGTAAAGGGCTAAAGAGCTGCCAGGCCTTGAAAAACTCATGCAGTCCCTTCCAAAAGTTTGCTGTCAGATGCATAGATGGAATTGAAAGCAAAGTTGAATCTTGTGAATGTTTATTATGCAACTTGTGTGCCATAGAAACAGCAATTATAAATTATTACAATAGAGTTACTCCAACAAGCAAAGGAATATTGAGTGATATAATTACCATCTCTAAGAAGGCATTTACACTATTTTCAACAAAAAGCATTTGATGCATTGTGGCCAGGGAATGCAAACTTTTTAAACGGGTTACACAGCAGCACTTTTAGCATAGCTTAGCATAAATCATTGAATCAAATTAGACCATTAGCATCTCGCTACAAAAAAGAGAGTTTGGATAATTTTTCTATCTAAAGCTTGACTCTTCTGTAGTTACATTGTGTACTAGTATTGATGGAAAATTGGAAGTTGCTATTTTTAATGGTTGATAGGGCTAGCAGCTATTTTAATAAACAAGAAACTTTGCTGTATAAAATGATAACTTTTTAAAACTGTTTTTTTATGTTAGCATAGCTTAGCATAAATCATTGAACCAGATTAGACCATTAGCATCTTGCAAAAAAAATTTTTTTTGAGAATTTTCCTATTTAAAGTTTAAATCTTCTGTAGTTATACTGTATACTATGACAGATGGTAAATAAAGCATTGCTATTTTCTTGGTCGATAAGGCTAGCAGCTATTTTCCCATTTTGGTATAATAATCAAGTGACCTTGCAATATAAAATGCAAACTTTTAAAACCCAGAATTTTTTAGAGTGCAGTTGTTCATTTTAAAATAATGTGTTGTGA